GCTTGCTTTTAATCCAATCCCCTGGTGGACCACAAGCACTTTATGTTTACATAGTCCTTTGCCAGTCATTTGGTGGAAAGACCGTGGCTAGAAGGGGCATAGCAAGTACTGCACTGACTGCACCCACACACAGGATTCTGACATGCACCCCTGAGAACCAAACTAAGGGACACGAGATAACCATTATGGAAACACACTGATGGCCCTTTCTTGTTCCACATCTGCAAAACATTCCAGAAACTGTGAACACTTTTTACCTTGGCCTTTAGCACCTGAGCTCACCAGGATTTTGTTCTGCTTCATATGTCTGTAACTCTGCTTGGCATGAATAAGTACAATTTCGAATATGTCTTTGAAAGATGATAAAAACAGTGTTGTAAGATTAGGTGACAAGAAACCAGGAAAACCGGCTTCAATCCTACTGTGAGCTTCAGCCACCTGGATGAGAAAGTCCGCCTTTTCTTACAGAGTCAGTAGTTGACTAGCGTGTGTCCCAAATGGATCTTTCCTTTGGGATTCGAAAAGTGTCCTCCAATAGGGCAGGGAAGATCCGTCCTTCCGTTTCCAGGAGTTAATTATCCTTGCTTAGATAGGCAAGTTTCTCACTTTACTCTAAGGCAGAAGTTCATGAATTAATGTAGTAGGTAAAGTGGGGCTTTTGTTCTCTACAGAACTCGGTTTCCAAACACCATTTGGCACATGGTATTTAAGCAAACTGCTCATTAAACTGGAGATCCTGAAGAAAATGTTTGCAGAATAGGGATGTTCATAATTAATGCTGAAATGTCAAGATTGCATCTGCCTGGTCCTTTTCCGCCCTAAGTTTCTTATACTTAATGATCTCTTTAATGAGCAGCTAACAGACAGAAAGATAAATCACTAAGGAACAGTGTGTTGAAGAACATTCTGGGAAAAATAAAGCAAAGCTACTCCAGTTTGTTCATCTTTTGACATAGCAGAATGCCTTTTCCTTGTCCATCGCCATGTGGAGGGATGGAATGAATGGGAAACTCGGGCTTGCCAAAAGAGCACTGGTGGCACAGTGGTGAAGCACCCTGCTGCTCACCAAAGTTCAAACCCGCCAGCCGCTCCATGGCAGAAAGATGTAGCAGCTTCCTGATGTAACGATGACAGCGTTGGAAGCCCTGTGGGCCAATTCTACTCTGTCCTATAGGGTGGACATGAATCTGAATCAGCTTGATGGTAATGGTTGGGGTTTGGTGAAAGTTTGCCAACACACATGGCAGACTCTGTCATCCCTGTCATGTGTGGTCTCTCAGCCCACTTCTGACCATTACATTCAACCATTTGAAGTGGTTCCCTTTCATTGTGTCCAAATTCTCCAAATAGTGAATTGCGCTCACTGGAAATACATGATTCACAGACTCGCACCAGGCCTAGCCTCAGCTAACACCCATCTTTCCATAGATTGTCACCCTCCCCAGCCTGCAGGGCCAGTGACTCCGCAGAATCACTGGCAAATGGTTTTTCAAATGGTGCCTATTTCCTAGAACAGACCAGCTGCCAGAGTCTCCATGACTCACCGCTCTGGACGCACACGCCAGACGAATCAGGCAATTCTGTGGAAAGCCGTTTCTGAGTCCCCTCATTCCAAGACTTGCCCCTGAAAGTCACTTTCTGGCTACACTGGAGAAAACAACCCCTGGCGCTTTGGGCTCTGGCGCCTTTTCGTCCCCCCTGTGTGTACCGCGCAGACCTTGGGGTCGGCTCTGGGAAGCATCCGAGTCATTTCCGAGGACCCTGCAACATCACAGGTCCTGATGGGAGGGCTGGCTCAAAAGGGCAGTTCTTCTGCCCTGCGTTGAACACACAGGACAGCTGGAGCTCAGGGACCAGAACGACTCCTCCAGAACTGCTGAAAGATGACGCCGGGACGCCAGGGCTCAGCCACTCGTGTTTCTCTGAGAGCTGGTTCCCAAGTGCTGGGACGTGTCTGGGTGAAGGACAGATGAAGACATCTCTGCCTTGGTGGCCATGAGACTTTGCTGTCCAGGGATAGAGCCACAGGTCACCCCACTGCATTCTGTAAGGAGTTTCACTGGCTGGTGCAAAGAGGCACGCATTCAACGATGACGGAAAGGATGGCAGTTTACACCTACCTAGAGGCGCGTGAAGACACAGGCCTTTTGAACTGTTTCCAGACGGTCACACCTTGGAAAACTTGACCTTGCTCCCGGGAGATCACCATGCATCCAGCCGACTCCATGACAAGTCATGGGAACAAGCAAGTCACTTCACCAGCTGATCTCAGCAGAGAAGGGGAGGCTCTCTGTTCCCGTAAAGATTTACAGTCTGGGAAACTGCATACAGGTCACTATGAACCACAATCAACTCAGTGCCTGTGGGTTTGGACTTTATTGCTCTTCCAGCTCAAAACACCTGAGGGTTTCTCCCACGAGTAAAGGGAGGTCCGTAAAGCTAGCAATCGCTGGTTGAGGGGCAGCAAGAACCCCAGACTTGCACCGTGCACCTCCATAAGGAACCATTGACAGGGTGGGCTAGTTTCCTTGCTGTGACCCAGTTCCAATTCTCTGATCCTGGTTGTGGAATGCATCTATAGCTGGCTATACCAGCACCAGCACTGACATGACCCTTGGACCCTTACCGTGGGATGAACCTTTAATTCCCAGCCATCCAAACTAAGGTTCATCTTGGAAGCATACTAGCCTAGCTGGCAGCTCAGGGTCCTGCCTTCTACCATGGCAGCACTGCCCCTGCCAACCAGAGGAGCTCCACCTTCCATACCTTCCTGTCTGGATTCCTTCTCTTCCTGGGGCCTTTTGCTCCTGTTGGTGGCTGCCCCTTGGTACACAGCATTCTCCTGGAGTCCCTGGGTGCTGAAAATAATTTTATGGTTGGGGAGGTCACCACCACATGAGGAACTGTATGAAAGGGTCATAGCAATAGGAAGGTTGAGAACCACTGATCTAGAGACACCTCAAAAAGAAAGTGAGAGAAAGAGGAAGGAAAGATAGATGATAGATGATGATGATTATAGATAGGTAGGCAGGTAGGTAGGTAGGTAGGTAGGTAGGTAGGTAGGTAGGTAGGTAGGTAGATAGATAGATAGATAGATAGATAGATAGATAGATAGATAGATAGATAGATAGATAAGAAAAGATGATTTTCTGTTCTTTGGATGCTTTTTTTATCACTATAAGTACCTGGGATGTGTTTAGGTCGACACAGAATAATTACTCATTACATATAACTAATTACTAGTTTTACTAGGAGTAAAAAATTTAAATATATCTTCTGTCATCAATTTCAATCCTACAGACTATAGAATAACTGCCCTATGCGATTTTTCAAGAATTTAAAACTTTAAAAAAATTATTTGTATTGTAAATTGGGTGAGGCTTTATATTTATATTTCAGGCTAAATATTTTATATTTATATATATATATATATATTTATATTTATATATCATTAACTTTATATTCTAAGCTGTATTTTTACAGAAGCAGACTGTGACACATTTCTCCTACAGAACAGCGGGTAGATTCTGACTGGCTACCAGAGCTCTTTTCTGGATAGGACTAGCATTATGTAATGACGTCAATCACTGTTTTTATAGGAATTCTATCTGGAATTAGTTAACACTATATATGGACTATATATATAGTCCTATATATTGCTTGACCTAAGAATTATTTAGCACTAAAATGGGTCTGCCAGTTCCCAATAGTCTTACTGCTTGTTATACTGGGGAACGGCTTTCTCTCAACCTGTTAAAAAACAGCACAATTATTCTTTCTGGAATAGATATACTGTCCTACAAAACTCATTGATAGCTGCAGCTCCAATTAGCTAAGATCCATGTAGAATGGAAATGCAAGATAATGAATTTGTTTGTTTGTTTATTTTCTGGTTGAGAACTCAAAGAATTGTTCCCACCTCTGCCTGTGCTGAAGAAAATTGCATCCTTTTGATGAGGTTTGTGCTAGATTTTAGCACATGTGTTAGTCTGTGTAGACTAGAGAAACTAATCCAGAGGCAGTCAAATATGTGTATAAGAAAGAGCTTGATATACAAGAGCAATTGAATGTTGAGAAAACATCCTAGCCCTGTCCAGATCAAGTCCGTAAGTCCAGTATTAGCCCATATGTCCGATACCAATCTAAAAAGTCCTCTTCAGACTCACGACACACATATGCAATGATGCTGAATGCAGGAAGACCACAGGCCAGTATGTGGGAAGTCTTGTAGATCCAGTGGCATAAGAATCTCAGTGCTGGCAGAGGTCTCCACGTGGCTTCTCCAACTCCAGAGGTCTGGCTCCATCAGCCTCTCTCCATGTGTCTTCTCCACAGGGATATCTCTCATCGAGTGAGCATGTGTCCCACCTCCAGCGAGCTATTTATCACCTTAGGGCTTCTAAATGAGGTCATCAAGCTACTACCTGATTGACAGGCTCGACTCCACCCCTTCCTGCTGAATCCTCAATTTGACCCCAAATTATATAACAACCACAGCACACATCCTCCTTCTACGCAGTTGTGGGTGAGGGTGCTTTGTGGACAGTCTGTGTGTCTCTAGACATCGCCCACAGGGTGGGAAGAAACTTCTAACACAAGGTTCTCTTCTTCCTTGATTCTGCTTTATGCTCCGTGCTTCAGTGCGAAGCTCTCTCCTCTAGTTCGGCTTTTCCAGTCAGACGACAGCAGCCATCCACAGACACACAGTAGGAGTTCACCTCCAAGAGTCTCCTGCTGCTGAAATGGGCACAGAGTTCTCCCCAGTCGGGTACTCCTTGTTCAGCAGGGTTTGCTTCATTGGGTTTTACTGTGCTGGGATTTGCTCACCCTCCTCTGGTGTCTCTTGAGCCCCATGCAACAAAGCCATGGGAGAGGGAGCCGTGAGGACTTCTCACAGGCGAAAGAAGGGGCATGTCCCCGTGGCACGCTCTCGCCTGCACAACACCAGTTTTCACCCCATTTGTCTCCTATTCACGTGTCTCTGCTTTGTTTACTCTTAGAGGAGATCTTGAAGACGCACATCGCACACTGGTGGTCTCCCGACGGCACGAGGCTGGCCTACGCCACCATCAACGACACCCGGGTCCCCCTCATGGAGCTCTCTACCTACACGGGCTCGGTCTACCCCACGGTGAAGCCCTACCATTATCCCAAGGTAGGAGAGAGAAATTGCCCTTCTCTTTTCCAGAAAAAATGTCCCTGCATTATTCTTCATGCTCCCCCCTTCCCCAGCTCACTCAGACGTGAGAACCAGGAATGTTTGTGAGCACCCCAGAATACACAGGGAAGATGAAATACATCTCATTACATTGCATTCAATTTCCATCTTTGCTTTGTTGAATCTGTTGGTTGATTTCTTTGTTTTAAAGTGAACTATGGTTCCTCGTTTGTCTACGCATAATTGGAACCAATATAAAGACGTTGCCGGAACTTGGGATTTTTATGGTGACAAAAACTCAGACGTCCCCATTCTTGTTTTAGAAGTTGGTTTCTGGTTCCCTGGGTGTGGGCTTGGCTGTTTCACTCTAAGTAGTGCTCTGACCCATTAGTTTTCTAATGTTCCCCCCTAGACAAAATGGTTGGCTCAGAGCCAGTGGAAAAGCTCTTTCAGGGGAGGATGGGGGAAGAGGAACGAAGAGAAGTAAGGGGTGATGCAGGGAAGAGGGGAAACAGCCAAGCTACTTGGCTACCTTAGCACAGAATCTCCTAAACCCTCTCCAGCCTACATTGTTCTCCCACTCTGTCTAGTACTTTCTCTCGTGATCCTGATTAGAGGCAGCACCAGTTGGGGCTGGGCACCATCTAGTTCCTCTGGTCTCAGGCTGGTGGGCAGTGTGGTTCGGGTCATCCATTTGTCCATTGGATTCAATGATCCGTGAAGTTTACATTTGTCCCACTCTTCTTTGCCCCAGATAGGAAGAGACTTGGAGTGTTGTCTTAGATGATGACCTTGTGAGCTTTAAAGACCCAAGTCAACCCTCCCCAAAGTAGGATGCGGAGCGTTTTCTTTCTACGGAGTGTGTTAACCGAGATGTCCCCTGAGACCGTGGTCCTAGTCTCTTAAGTCCCAGTGACTCCCTCCCTGGAGGGGCTTTCATAACTCTTCCTCCTGTATGTTCCCTATGCTCTGCTGCACACCTGGATATGTGAGGGAGCTCCCAAAATATGTGGGGGGAAATGAAATTTTTCCATGAACTTTTTGAAGCCCCCTTGTATTTGCAGCACCTCCGAATGTGAATATAGAAATATCACATCATCCACCAAACCTATCTATCCTTGTGGGCCTGCTCTCATAAACCATGTGCAGCTGTTCAAACACTACTTTACAAGTGGATACATAGGTAAATATGTAGTTTGTGAATACTACGGCTATTACAGGACTGTGTATGTAATAGTATTATTCCGCATCACCTTGTCTTCCTTTGCCTTGGTCATGTCGGATCCCTTATTATTCATTGCTTTTCACTTCACCTAAGTTAATACCTGTCTACGATCTAGTTAGTGATTGTTCTTGCACCCTTTCTCATCCTTGTTAACTATCAAAGATAGTTTGATCGTTTGTGTACAAGCCTTTTTCTTGTGGTGGTTTTTATTAATTGTGATATCATATAGTATTTGCCCTTTTGTAACTGATTTCTTTCATGGCGCATAATGTCCATGTTGTGAGATGTTTCTAGGATTCATCATAATTCTTGCAGGACGGCCAAGGGTGGATTGGGAGCGCCTTGGCTGCTCTCTGTTGTTGGTCTAGTTATGTAGGGACAGTGGCCCTTGCTGAGTGAAAGGGGTGGCAGATGTATCAAGAGTGCCTAGCTATAAAAACAAAAGAGTGCCTAGCTATAAAAACAAAAGAGTGCCTAGCTAATGGGGACATGGCCACTGCGTCTTGAAGAATGAGAGTGTTGAGTGACAGGCAGGTGCAAGGAAAGAGGGAGGGAAGGAATGGTGAACAGGTGCATATAAGTCACATTGTCTCCACCTCTCTCTAGGTGGGGGCAATAGGAGGTAGCACAGGTGGGTCATCAAGCAGGAGAGACAGAATGAATAGACTGCACTAGCCCTAAGCAGTTTTCTGTCCCTTGCAGGGTCATTCTGTGTAGGGAGGGGGTGACAAGAGGGCAGGCAACAGTTGGGACTGGGTAGGGGGAAAGGAGGGACCTTGGTTTCCATGGTCAGGACTGCAGGAATGGTGGCGGGGTGTTGTGGTCCTCAGGAGCAGGAGGGTGAATGAGGGGAACATACTCCTCTGGCCACCAGGCTAAGCTGTCTGGGCTTTTCCTGTGGGCTATAGTCAGCAATGGAGACTTTATCTCATTTGTGGTATCCTTTGGGGAATTCCATCAACTTGCCTCTGTGCCTCTCACCCAGAAGTGCTCAACATGGCCACACTGGGCTGCCCCTTCCACCCCATCTCTTGTTCACTGGTTTGTCAGTCTTTTCTAACCAGTGTTGGAGCTAGTTCTTTATCCTTTTTGGATGCTCGAAGTTCCAGGTTGAGCCCCTCTATTGTACTTACTTTATTCCTGGGCTCTTTGTTGTCATGGGGTGGCTTTGTGTATCTAAGCTGCCAGTTTGTCCAGAAGTTCTCTCCTGCCGATTGATTGGACCTGTTCTGCAGATGTGGGCAGTTCCTGCGTTTAGTGGGAAACAGAATACGGTCGATTGGAATGCTGTGAAACGATTCTCCCGCTCTCTAATGCCGTTCCACCAGTGTCTGTCTCACCCTCACCCAATCCCCCCATGGCGATTGTTTCCAGAACAGGTCCCTTTTGTGCTAGTGTCCCTCAATATATCAGTGATGAACCTGGCATCCCCAAGATGGGACCCCCTTGGTGGTATGGTGGACTCTGGGACAGGTGCTCTAAAGTAGGGATCATTTGGCATTGGGGGAGGGAGGGGGGACATGTTTAAATAGAAAGGCAGCATATGCCGGCCAGAATCCTGAAGCTCCTCAGCTCAGACATAATGACTCCCCAGTTAGAGCTGTAGGCTGGTGAGATCAACGGACGTCTGTCCTGCTGTGGAAACGACTTTCTTTTGAAACCTGACCGTATCCTTTTGCCGAGGAAATGCTACCTCTCACCCTACCCACTGAGCTAGTACTCCTCAGGGAAAAGGAGCTTGAGATAGAAGCAAAGAAACGCGCAGGGGGGAACATCCCAATGGTTCCTTCAATTAAGAAGAATTTAATTGTTCCCTACCTTTGAGCCAGGACCTCCATTTTTCATGGGCGTCACAAATGATTCACCCTTCCATCCTCTGGCTCACTTCTGGCAGCGTGGCTAGTTTTTCCTTCTACTCTGGGTCTAGTCCCCAGCCCTCACCTCCATCTCCCCCCATGGTTGTCAGTCAAATGGAACCGGCCTGGTTAGCATTCTTGAGAGTTGAATAGGATTGGAAGGAAGTGGGAAACCTCAGGAGCAAAAGGAGTTGGTCCAGGTATCTCTTGGTCCCTTCTGAAACTCTGAATAGTAATTATATTTTCTCTGCATACATTTTGCCCCTTCAAGGCAGCTGGAATTCATGTGTGTGCCTTTGCTGGGGAAACGTCTTATGAAGCTAAAAGCACTGGTGAGGTTTAGGTGCTCATGTCTCTGTTTCCTTTTGCTCCTCCTCAGGCTGGATGTGAAAACCCCAGTATTTCCTTACATGTGATTGGTTTAAATGGACCTACCCATGACCTGGAAATGATGCCACCAGATGATCCAAGAATGAGGTTTGTGTCCTTTCCTCTATTATGTTAAAATAATATACATGATAATATTTATATTCATTTGCATGGTCTTTGCAGTCTCATGTTTGTTTTGCTGACAATTTAAACATCCAGTAAAAGGTTACATTAAAAAACTTTATGATCCAGCCTCTAGGAAAATAGCACCAAGCAACTATTGCTCATTCTTACCTTCATCAGAGCGAGATGGTCTTCCCCAGAAGGCTGGGTTCCCCTGGAAAGAGACTATGTCTCATTCAGTTTTGTGTATCCAGTAGTGACAATACTGCCTTGTACATGGATGCTTGGGAACATCCATTGGAGGAATAAATGTGGCTTTCTGAGGCAATTCATATAACAAGATTCTCTATAACTGGTACCCTGTCCTCAGAGCCATGCCAGCTATAGAAATCTTGCGATGGATCCTGTTGTTATAAGGCAAAGCCCTCTAGTGGTAAGGTAACAATGTATGTAGTTAGTAGAACATACCTATTGTCAAAGGTAGTTAACCCCCAAAGTGCAGTTCTAATGTACCTTATAATTGACAAGTGTGTTAGTCTGGGTAGTCTAGAGAAACAAATTCACAGAAACTCATATATATATATATATGAGAGAGTTTTATATAAAGGGTAATTGTACATTAAGAAAGCATCCCAACGCAGTGCGGTCCAAACCCTTAAGTCCAACATTAGCCCCTATGTCCGACACCGATCTATAAATTCCTCCTCAATTTCACAAAACACATGCAATGATGCCGATTTCAGGAGGAAAGCTGAATCAGTGAGCATGTAAGCATCTCAGCACTGGCAGGGGTCTCCACAAGGCTGCTCCAGCACCCAGGGGTGCATCAGGGTAGGTCCATGTGGCTTCTCCTCAGGGATGTCTCACAGGAAGTAAGCCTTGCCAACTGAAGCAGAGAACTGACTAACGCAGCTGCACCCTAGTCTGACCATCAGAGAGCAAGAAACCTGAGAACTAGAAAGGCGGGGCTCACCAAGCTTATCTCTCCGCCCTTCAATTAATCTCATATGTGTGTATCGGCCAGGTTGGCACAATAAATCTTAACTATCTCAACAAGATAGCAGTGAGATTATTCTACAAATAAAACTATTCAAACCAAGAATTATTTATTCTGAGGTTCAGCAAATACCCAATCCAAATGTGGGCATACCTCTAGCCTGGGTATTACAGAACTCTGCGTTGTTGTAGATGTCTGGCAGGGTCAGGAGGACAGAGCTATGACTCGGATCTTCTCAAGGTCCAATCCTTGGCTCTTTGGTAGCTTATTGATCTTTGTGAATGGTAGAGTCTTATCCTGCAGTGGAAACCCAACTGCCCACATCCAAAACATCTGTTCAGAAGCACTTTTTTGGATTCCTGCAGCCTCTGCAGAATTATATCATTTCTTGTAAAAAAAAAAAAAATCCTTCCTTCTTCAATGAAAATGAAGATAGCAGAAGGTCTTCAGGCAGACAGACAAAGCCCAAGGTCATACTTACAAAGGGTTTGCTGCTACCTCCTTTCTTACCCAGAATTGTTAGCATTAGTGTGTGTGGAGGGTCTCCTCTCATGTTTTGGGGCCCAAAGTCTCCCTTGAGGGTTAGTCAACCTGGTCCCAGGACATGACTCAGTTCAGCCTTGGGGAGCCAGCCCTCAGGGGCCATTGGCCTGGGTCGTTGAAGTTAATAGCTACTAAATTTGCTTGGAGAGAAGAAAAGTTAAGAGCACTGTTTTGGTGTCTCTCCCGAAGACCATTGGATTGTTTTCCTTTCAGACCCCAATCCTTGCCAAGCCTCCCGGAGCCTGGTCCAGCACAACTCCCCGAATTAATATGGAGAGTCACCTGGAAAATTGAAGCCATCTGTTGTAGTTAATTGAAAATCTCGTTTAGTCAATTTGGTGAGGCTGTTTCCGCAGGCTTGATTAGCTTCAAGGACAATGAAAAATTAGCTTCCATCAGGACTTGAGTGTGGATGCTGGACTTGAGTTTTTGCTTGCTCTGATTCCCTAAGCATAACGTGTATAAAGGCTTTGTGGATGCGGTATCAGTCTGAACTATATAAGTGCCACACTTCACGTACTCCTCCTCTGTCCCACGTCTTAGAATTTTAAAAAATGACATCATAGAATAAACCTAAAGAGCCAAACAGTTTGTATTTTTCAGCCACTACACTTGCCAAAACCCCCGCCATTGATTCCATTCTGACACGCAGTGCCCCTACTGGGCAGAGTAGAAGTGCCCGATGAGACTCCACAGCTGTGATATTGACACGCTCAGACGTCCACGTCTTCCACCCACAAGGTGGGTGCAGAGCACCGAGGCCCTGAAAGTTGAGTAGTAAACAAAACAGGTTCCTCCCCATATAGAACTTAGAGTGGAAATAGAGTTCAATCAGATAACTGCAAACAAGCAGATAACTGCCACGTGATACGTGCATGAAGGAGTGTAGAGTGGTTAGGAAGAGGCTAGCGTGGCTAAAGGATCAGCAAAATGCAACAGGCTTTCTCAGCCTCACCACTATTGACGTTTGAAAGCAGACAGTCCTTTGGTGTGGAGCCTCTGGGTGTGTCCTCAGATGCCGAACAGCATCCGTGGCCTTTAGCTAGATGTGAAAACTGCCCAGATGTGGAAACCAGAGCTGTTTCCAGTAATTGCTAACCGTGTGCGGACTGAGAACCACTGGGGTAGAATGAAGGCACTCCACTCAACAGACTCGGGTTTAAAACCCGAGTTTTAAACTGTGGTGAGCAGCCCGATGCTTACCCCACAGCACCACCAAGGATCCTTAGAATTAAGGAACCAGTGAGGTGTTAACAGCCCTCCCCAAAGCATGTAGATACAAGGTGCATGAAAACAGTTTACCAAGGAAGTGTACATTGTCCAGGTTGCAAGTCCCAAAGGGCTATAGATTGTCAATTTGGAGTTATCTGCCCCACCCAACAGAAATCTGAAAGACAAACCTACCCTAATAGAGTTGGAAATTGCCCAGTTAATACGTGGAGGCTTCAAACGTTCTTGGAAAAAATCCATTATCTTTTCATTCCACTTTCCTAGACAAAATTTGGGAAGCCTGCTGGTCAAGCGTCTAGCTAGCACTGACTGAAAGAGCACTCGGCCCCTTCCTTTGCTTCAATAAGAGTATTTTAGGTTGGGTTCTCCAGAGAAGCGAAACCAACGGTGCTCCTCTGTTCAGATAGAGAAAGAGATTCCTCTCCAGGACTGGCCCTCACGGTTGTAGAACCAGGTGAGTCCAGTCTGATTCAGGTCAGGCTTTCACTGACTGGTGAACACTGATGAACAGGAAGTAGGGTGATGAAGAAATTGATGGATGCAGACGTCAGAAGTTGGCTGAATGAATCCACCATCAGTAGTCTGCTGACGGCTCCTGGGATCAGCAGTGATGCAATAAGAGGCACAAGAACCAGAGGCAAGATCTAGCTTAGCAGAACACAAAGGGTCAAAGGGGATTCAACTCGGCTCCATCTCTCTGTCTTAAACAAAAAGGCGTATGACACCAGGCTTCGATGCAAGGAGTAGGTTGAGATCTGCCCCTATCCTCACCCAGGAGTGTCTAGTTGGCATCGTCCCCTAACCATCACAAGTTTCAGATTCGTTTTTTATGATTTCTAAAAGGCATCTCACACTCAGTGGGCACAATCTGCAAGAAATGTTGTTCTCTGTCCAAAATCTTCCTCTGCTCCAGTTGTTCCTCTTTCTCCCATGCGAGACCTTGCGCCCGTTATAACCAGAATCTGATTGTGCCTCATCGTCTCCCTCCTGATCTCCTTCGCTGACCCCCACTATATCCCTCTCTCGGAGACTGCAGCAGTCAGTTTTCGACTGCCTGGTTCCTTGGATTTCTCCCAGTCCCTAATCTGCAGTCCCTTTTCACACATCTACTCAAAGGAAAACAAACCCAAACCCACAGCCATCGAGTTCATTCTGACGCACAGGGACCCTACAGGACAGAGTAGAACTGCCCATTAGAGTTTCTGTGTCTGTGGATCTTTAAGGGAGCAGAGAGCCTCATCTTTCTTGTGTGGAACAGCTGGTAGATTTGAACCACTGACCTTCTGGTTAGCCCAATGCTTAACGCACTGTGCCACCAGTGCTACTCTTATGTCAGGTCATATTATACGGCCAAGGATTCTTGTGCTCTGAACTTTTTTGAGGTTTCCCAGTTCTCTTAGATCCCAAATAGAAGTTTTTACAATAGCCACCAACCCTCTAAATGATCGGCCACTGCCAGCCGGTGCCTCCTGCTCCACCACTCCTCACCCTCCCTTACTAGTCCTCAAATATGTTGGGCTCACCCCTTCTCAGGACTTTTGCACTGGCCATATGTTGCCAATAATGCTCTCTCCCACATACCCTCGGGGTTATTTCTTTACTTCCTGTTGTCTATAGAGATCCTGGGGATCCCCTAATAACTTTATATGAAATTGCAGCCCACGCCACTCCATCCAGCAAAATAATGCATTTAAACCCATGTTGTTGTTAAGTTCCTTCAAGTCCACTCTGACCCATTGCGACCCTGTGGACAGCGGAACGAAACACTGCCCAGTCCTGCGCCAGCCTCTCAACTGTTCTTGTGCCTGAGCCCATTGCTGGAGCCGCTGTGTCCATCCATCGCGTTGAGGGCCTCCCGGGTTTTTTGTGCTGCCCTTCCACTTTACTAAACATGATGTCCTTATCCACGGACTGGTCTATCCTGACATGTGCAAAATATGTAAGACAAGGTTTTGCCATCCTTGCCTCTAAGGAGCACTCTGCTCTGGCCTTACTTCTTCCTATACAGATGGGCTTGTCCTTTTAGCAGCCCAGGCTACTTCCAATATTCTTCTCCAACACCACAATTCCAAAGGACTGATTCTTCTACAGTGTTCCTTATTCAATGTCCAACCTCCACATGCATTGATGCAATGGAGAATGCATGGCTTATATCTGGCACACTTTAGTCTCAAAGTCCCTTCCTTGCTCTTCAATACGGTAAAGAGGTCTTGTA